CCGCGAGGCGGGCTTGATCCCTGTGCGCCTGAAGGCCGAGCGCAGGTACGGCGACGTGTCGACGAGGAAGGTAATCTCGCGCTCGCGGTCCTCGAGCTCGCGCAGGGCAGCGTACGTGTCGCGCGGCGCGACGTACCGGGCGGGGGTGTCGGAGGTGAGGAGGTGGTGGCTCGGCGCGGGACCGGAGAGGGGGGTCCTGCCGATGCTGGCCCGGGCTGTGGATCGCTCGTACGTGTCGAGGGTTCGGCGGGAGGTCTGATGTGACATGTTAGCTCACAGAACAAAGCGAGCACAGGCCAGAGGGGGCAGCTCACGGCGCAAGTGCATCGGAGGGCTTGTATGTCTTGATGGCCGAGGAAGGGGGCGACGGCGAGGACGAGGAAGCCCTCGAGGGGGTGGGGCTTTCGCAGCCCGTGGTTGACGGGCCTGTGTGGCGATTTAGAAAGCATGACTGATGTAATGTGTTGTGAAATGCGATGTTGGGCGAGTATTCAATGTAGAATGGCGGAGTGGGTGGTCGTCGCGAAGCTCAGTCGAAAATGTAAACGGGACCCAGCATTGGCTATCTCCCTACACGAGTTTCCTCTGCTTCGTGGTAGCGCTTATCGTTGCCGGTTAGGTCCTGTGACGCCACTTCTCCAAAGTGATGCCGTGATCTCGGTGTAAGTCGCCGACGAGGTACCTGGGGAGGGGGGTTTGAAGGACACGGGCCGTGTTCGAAAACAGATGATTTCATGTGTATCACAAAATCAAGGGCAATACAGACAAGAGGGGATATTGCCGAGGGCTCAGAGGCACAGGCAGACCTTGGCTTCTTATGTGCCTGCTCGTCTCCTCTGAAGAGCGAAGCGCATCCGCATCCGCATCCGCAGCAGCGGCCATCAGGGTCCCCGGCGAGTAGGACAGACGGCCCCGATTCAATGGCTCGTGGCCGCTCGGTGACGAGTGTACCTGGCCATTAAGGCCATCAAGGCCCTGCCGCTAGTGACGCATGCTCCATTGTTTCTTGATCGACCTCCTAGATGCGCAAGTGTCGCATCTGGATCTGAATCGGGGGAGGAGGGGTCAAGGGGGACGTTGAGATGGGGGGGGACCCCCACCACATTGCGCCATCACAGGTACCGCATTCTGCGGCTTTGACCGTCACCGGCAGCAACAGAGGAGCAGCAGAGGGAACAAAAAGAAGCGATCGGGGGAAACAGCATCAAGTAGTCTGACTGCCTACGTACTGTACATGTATGCCGGATAGTGGCCATGCTGCTCTCCCTCTCTCCCTCCCCGGGAAGACGTCCTTGAGGTCATGGCCATGCCCCTCTCATCAGAGACCGATTCATCGCCAAACGCCATAAAATGCACCCTTGACGCCCAGCAAGACCCAAGGTCCCTTTCGCTTTGTTTTCTGTTTTCTGTTCTGCCAATGCTCCAAAGCTTCTCTTCTGTCATTGGGGGTTTTTTTTTTGTTTTCACGACAACACAGGGTCGGATTAGACCCCGCCGCCTACGATGACTTGAGTCCGGCCGCGCCCGCCGCCCGCTGGACCATGGTGACCTTTTTCTGTCCGAGGTCAATAATCTTGGCGACGAGCTTCTGCTGCTCGTCCAGGTCGCGCACGTCGTCAAAGCCGCCAATGCTGACGCTGTTGATGAGCACGTTCGGCACGGTCGAGCGGCCCGTCTTGGCGGCGAGGAAATCCTGCAGCGCCTTGCCGATGGGGTGTGCGGCGAGCTCAACGACGTAGGTGCGGGATTCAATGGCGTGCTTTTTCTAGTTCAGGCCGTTTGCTTTTTTGAAAAGGGTCAGTAGGATTTCGAAAAGATGATGACTGACAAGGTTAGCAAGGGCGCCCATGCGTGACCGTCATCCAAAAAAAAAAAAAAAAAAAAAAACGGACAGGTGAAGGGAACATGCCTGGTGATTTTTTGAGAATGGCATTCACCTCGACCTCGACGGCGTGCTCCTCGTCCGTCTCCTTGGCGGGCGCCTGCTTCTTCTCGACGTCCTTGGCGCCGGCGGCGGCCGCGTCCTTCTTCTGGCCAGCGGCCGAGTTGCCAATGCCGACAATATCGCTGGGGTCGTCGGGCCGCAGGGGCGCCTTCTTGTTGGCGGCCTCCTTGGCCTTGACGGCGGCCTCCTTGAGGCGGTCGGCCATGTCCTGGGCGAGCTTCTCGTCGTCGGCGTCAATGTTGCCGTCGCCGTCCTTGTCCTTGATGACGGCCTGGGCGCCGGCCGCGGAGCCGGCGCCGGCGGGCTTCTTGTCGAGCCCGCTGACCGTCTTGTGGTAAAAGTCCTGGAGCGTGCGGCCGTCGCGCACCTCGTGCTGGCGCAGGTGGGACGTGTAGAAGAGGACGAAGACGACGCCGATGATGACGCCGACGACGAGCGTGCGCAGCTGCCTCGTCGACGGCATGGCGCGCTCGCTGTGTTGAGAGGCGCTGTCAAAAGGCGCTGGTGGCGGAGGGCAGGAAAGGAGGCTTTCAGCCCTCTTCCGTTTCGTTCGTCGTGCAGGTCGTCGTGGAGCTACCGGCGGCACTGGTATGTGTGTAATAGACCCTGCTGCTGATCAATCGATGTCGCGTGACGGAGCCGAGGAAGCGGGATCCAGGCGATCAGCTCTCGGTCAACGTCGGGGGAAAAAAAAAAGGGTAGCGGTCGGTACACGTTGCATCAAAGGGGTACTTGGAGATGGCGCTTTCTTTCAGGTCACGGCATGACGTGTGGGGTTGAGGTTGGGTCAACGGATTCCCAGAGGCCGGAGCTACAGGACACGGACAGCAAATGCATGGGCCGTAGCCTCGTGACCGTCAAAGGCTCTGGGCAGCAGCGGGAAAGGGGGAGTCGCGACCAGTCGAGCTTGGCGCGGCCAATCATGGAGCGATGTTTCTACTGTGCGCAATGTTTCGAGGGAGAGTTCTCCCGCGGATATTTGGGCTGTCACAGTGATTACTTTCCAGGGTATGCACAGTATACATCTGACATTGGCTTCATCGGATTGCTGCTCATCACCACCGTGTCGTCGACGACCGACGGCCAACAAGTGGCTGACCTGACAAGAGAGGGGAAGAACCATGTACTACTATAGAAATTTCCATATTATATATAGATATATCTAGTACAGTACGTGCATCAAACTGATCCAGGACGTCAAAGTGTTCGCCGTGTTCAACATGCGCCGAGTCTGGCTTCCACATGCAGGCCATCAGTTGAATACCCACGGTAAGCTAGATAGACAACAGCATCATGGAACTTCTGGGCGAATATATTTCGGTTGACACCATAACATCCCGTCTCATTGGGTGAAACTAAAAAAGCTAATCAAGCAACTAACCCGTGCAATACACGGTGGAGCACCCAGCTCTGAACATCATGGAAAACTGGCGAGAAACGACTGCTGGGCTCGAACGAGCCCTTCGAACCCGAGACCTGCTCTTGGCTTCGGTGCCGAAACGACTGATGAGATGAACACCAAAACAAAACAAGAAATTTGGGGCTCAGGTGGCCCCTTGGTATCCAATATTCCCCCCTCTTCCCAAAAGCAAGCGCTCGCTTCAACAAATTTCCCTTGGCCCTTTTCGGCTGGGAATCAACGCAAACAGCAAAACCATATCCACGTCCACGTCCGTACCATGGCAGAAATGCAACACAACCCCGTCCAACTAGTGACTCGGTCTTTAATCGACCCCTCTCCCCTCCTTGAGGACCAGCCCCGAGGACCAGCCTCATGCCTGTGCGCAGGCCTGCTGCGCTTCCTGAACCACAAGTGCGGCTTGCGGTCGTGTGTTCGTGTTTGTCGTCTCAGGAGTGACGACGGCCGCGTCCCCGTCTCTTGTACTTTGCGAGGTGGGCCCTCATGCTCCTCGGCACATTGGCCTTTCTCCGCCTCGGCGTCTTTCGTCGCGTGCGCCGACGGCCGGCTCGACAACGCGTCTGCGAAGTTCAGAGACGGCGTTTCCGGCTTCGGGCGGCGGCGGCACCAAGTCTTCAGGTACCACTGGGGCTGATGTGTTCTTGCTGGCGCTGCCGGGCCTCGTCTGTACCGGTGAGGCTGGGCAGGATCACCTCTGGGTGCAGCCCGGCGGGGACATCGGCGTGGACATGGCTAGAATGTTTGTGTACATGCCGGCGATGCGAGTGGTGGTGGTGGTGGTGGTGCAAGTGTGCCGAGGGCGCAGCAAGAACCCGGAGTGAGAAGAGAAAGATGGAAAGGAACGCGAAGAGCTGCATTTTGAGTGCGAGGGTTTGCGATGAATTTGTGAGGCGAGCGAGAAGTGAACGATCGTGTGCTGTATCGCAAGGGGCGTGATGGAGGCCAGCTACACTCGGATGGAGGTAAAGTCCAGCATTATATTGATTCGTGAACTCGTGGACTCGACGCAAACAGAACGATGACGAGGTTGTCGTCAGTCGAACCCCTCCATCCATTGAGGGGTATGAAACTTCGTCAGACTGTTCACCATCACGCGTGCGGTCAAACGACCACCATCCGTTCAGGGTCCGAAACAGCGTGACCCAACGGTCGTCAATCGTGATCATCAACGTTGCAACACCAGCCTCTTTGGAGATCGCAACCTAGCGGCCCGCCGAGCTGGTTGCGGGAGACAGCCTCACCAATATTCGCGCAAGGCTGGAGGGGGGAAGGCTACATTCCACACGCAGGCGGAGGGAACAGGAGGAGGACTCCCAACCACCACCAGCAGAATGAATGGCATCACGCACAGCAACAAACACAGATGCTCGAGCATGCCCATGTGTCAAGAAGAAGACGCAGATAGCATCCTTATCGACAAGGTATTCGTGGGACCGGACCTGGACGAGGGCTTTGCTGACGGTGACGTGAATTCCCCTTCCTCATTTGGACGTGTCGCCAGTCTTGATAGGCCAGTCGTCTCCATCACGCGCCCTGCTCTCTCGCACACATTTCCCCTCGCTCACTCTCCTCGTTGTTGGCCCTTCTTCCCTTGACTGTGCTCCCCTTTGCTTCCCGTTCCAGCCTTCTTCTTCTTCTTCTTCTTCCCATCCTTCGTTGGCTTCAGCTAAGTTCGATGCTCGTGGCATGCCTCCATCGCCCACATTCCTCCAACACGCCCAGTCGTCCAGTCCCCTCGCAGCCCACTGGCACGCAATGTCTCACTACGCATTGAACCCCGACCTCTTCCCCCTCCACGGCGGCTGCGCTTGCGGCCACATCCGCTACATCCTCGCAAGCGCACCTCGCCGTCCACGCGTGCCACTGCCCCCTCTGCCAGCGCGAGTCCGGCTCCGGCTTCACCATCAACGCCGTCATCGAGACCGCGCACATTGTCCCCGCCCCGTCCGCGACCCCCGTCCTGCCGGGCACCAACACCCCCCCTCGGCCCGCTCCAGCCCTCTGCCTGTCCCCTGCCCAGCGGCATCGCCGCCACGACCCGCGGCCCGGCCGGGAAAAGCGAGGAGGGCCAGACAGTCGGCGTACCGACCCCCACGGCCTCGCACGCCGCGCAGACGATCCATCGATGCCCTCGCTGCAGCGTCGCCGTCTGGTCCTTCTACGGCGGCGTCGAGACGGGGCCGATCGCCTACCTGCGCGCCGCGACGCTCGACCGCCTCGACGTGCTGGAGCCGGACGCGCACATTTTCGTCCGGTCGAAGAGGCGCTTCGTGGTGCTCGGGGCCGAGACGCGGCAGTTCGAGGAGCACTACCGGCCGGCCGACGTGTACCGACCCGAGGCGCTGGAGAGGCTGCAGGCTGTTGTCAGGGCGAGCAAGTCGGCGTGACGTTGCTGGCCAAGGCGGCTACACAATCGGTATGGTGCGGCTTTCCTAGGTTGGTCAGGTATGAATAATATCAGCAGGAGACGGTTGGTTGCGTACTTGCGCTCTCTTGTTCGAATATCATCGCCTGTCAGATTGAATCGGCTGCCAAGGCGAAACGTGATTCACATAACATAACACATCTTCGTTTTTGACTGGGAAGGCGGAAGATGGTGCCCACGACGGCAGTAATTATCAAACTATCCCACAGAAAACCCCTGATCATGAACTCGATCAGGCCAGAGACTTCGTATCGTGCCATGAAAAACAAGTCACAGAACATCAAAACCTTATAATCACCACCAAACAGACAACGGCAGACGCGCAACTTCCAAGTGATACATTGATAGTACACCCTAAACTACATTTCAACATATGCTGTATAATCCCCAAAAACAAAGCCACCGACAGTCATAAAAGCCATCTCCCCCATCCCCAAGCGGGACGCACGAAGAACCAAGCAGAAGAAACGCCAGAATCGCGCGTCGGACGCGAATGATGAACTAGTCATGATAAGGTATAATATGCGCCTCCCCGGGGGCATTTCCCAGCCCAAGCATAAAACGATGAGGAGAGGGCTGCGAGCCCAGATGAAAACAGAACAAAGTGGACACGAGGGTCCATGCTGCCGCAACATGCAGAGAGCAAAAATAAAAAGTGGAAAACGAAATGCAGAAGGATGGCCTCATTCCACTCCTCATCCGATCCGCCTGAACCCTTCGACACCAAGCGTCGGGACCTCGACCTCGCTGAGGCCCAGCACGCCCTCGTCCCTGCGTCGGTCGATGAAACCGTTGCATTCGGCGACAATGACGCCCCACTCCGCCAGAGAGCGGCCGGTGTAGATGCCTGTCGAAGCGTAGAACCCGACCGGCTTGACCGGCTGCGTCAGCGACTCGCCCAGAGGAATGTCGTCAGCGTCGGCGTCGTCATCGCCGGTGGTGAGACCCTCGGACGCCATGGCCTCAACGGCCGTGCGGTCGAGCGGCTCGCTGAGGGATTGCGTAAAGCTCGCCGAGAAAGACAGCTGCGGCGCCGGCTCGTTGCTGATCCGTCGTGGGGAGGCTTCCGGCCGCAGAGGTGACGAGAGAGGGCTCGCGTTGCGGGCGCCACTGACGAGACCACCTTCTTTCAGGCCAGAGACCTTGCGCGTGGGCGCAGGCATCCTAGCGGCCGGCAAGCGAGGGGAGCTGCCGCTGCGCGATCTTGTCGTGACCCAGGCCTGCGCGGGGGCGGGGAGTCGCGGGCGGACGAGAATGCGCTCGCGTGGCTGGTTGGGCTGATAGATGTGCAGGCCCAAGATGAACTTGAAGACGTACTGCTGCTCCTGCAACAGTGGCGACGAGCCCGTCGACGAGCCATCGGACGAAGCCGAGGCCGAAGAACCGTTTGCTGTCGGCTTCGGCGGGGGAGGAGGCCCAGCGGGCGAAGTCGTCGGTCGGGGTGTGGTGCGTGCGGCCGCAAGATCTTTGCGCGCCTGCTCAAAGTTGTCTTCCCAGCTGTTGTTGCGCTTCGGTGAGCTTCCTGCCGACCCGGTGGGAGAACCTGCGGACGTGGCTGTCATCGAGAGAACCTTGCCGAGGAGGGACCAGCGCTTCTTGTCAGATTTGACGCCACCATTGCCAGAATCAATGAGACCAGAGTTGACTTGGCTGGAGCCGTTGATGTTGAGCTTTGCAAACGAGTCAAAGCCGAGACCGAGGCCCGGCTGGGGTGTGTTGAGTTCGGTGCGGATGATCATGAACTTCTTGCCGGGTGTAGGGAGGCATGGAGCCGTCGAGGGAGGGAACTTGCCAGACTGTTCGGCAGTCTGCTTTAGGTACAAGTAATGGGACCATGTCGTCTTGAGTCGGGCTGCTACTACCATGAAGATTTTGCTGATCATTGATTAGCGAACGTGCAAAGCCGGACGACGTCGAGGATGAAACTTACGCATCAATCTCGTTAGCGCTGCCAGCATCCCGACAGATTCTCCAGCACAAAAGTCGCATAAAGTACGCCCTCACCATTGGACACCAGTGATTAAATAATTCGTTAAAAGTTTTCTCCGTCAGAAGCCAGCCCAGGCAAACTGCCTGCTTGCGTCGGGGATCCCGCCGTAACGGCATCCCAGGTTGTGAATATAAACGATAGCAACCGTATCTCCGTCATGGCGTTGTGTGACCCCAGCATCTTCTTGCACACATCGAACCAGAACGGCCAGTCGATATAGTCCAGATTCGGGTCGTCGGTGTCCTCAAAATGATCGTACGCAAGCAGAGCTTCTTCAAGGAAGTCGCACAGCGTAAAGCACGAGTTGTGGTCGAAAAGGGACGTCCTCTTGCTCGCAGCGCGCAAAACGGCCATGCTGGCCTCGGCAAAGGTGTGGCGGGATGGCGCAAAGTCGAAAGAGTCTTCTGACAAAAAGTCGCGGAGCAAAACGATGAATCGGTTTTCCGACATGCCCTTGAGCAGATTCCCGGTCGGCGCAGCCCCCCAGCGCCATGACATTGGCATCCCATGCCGTAGGCTACATCATACAGTGGTGGAATACCCATGTTGTCGGCGGTGGCTGATCGGTGAATGGTCGAGTCGATGTTGGAGAGCACCTGGGCTTGGACCATGACGAAACCAGGCGAGCGGGCCTTTTCAAGAAGCGGGAGGCCTTGCGGCATGAATTCCTCGCTCAGAATATGGAAATGTTTGCAAAAGATGTAAAACAGGTCCGTGTCGCGACCCCGCCACCTCGACATCCAGGGACTGAACCATGGGATGCGCGCCGCGGCGAGCGACAGCTTCGGCACGCCTTTGAGACGCTTGGTCACCGTCCTCACGTCTGTCCAGCCCAGATATCCCAAGCTCGGCGGAAAGAGCGCCACGATATCATCACTCTCTCCGTTGTTGGTCTTTGGCAGACCAAACTCATCAGCCGTACGTCGAACGAGGTCGGGTGTCAGGCCCCATAGCCGGGTCATCATGTCAGCTGCACCGGGCGCGAAGAAGAAGGCGTAAGCGCATGCTTTGCCACAGAAGTTGACCAGGCTGAGCGGCGCGTGACGAACGGACATTTTGTCGACCACAACGGCCATCTGTGTCAAGAGATTCGAAACGAACATGGTCCGCACATTATGCTCGGCGGATTCGGCTAGGAATTCAGCCTGGCTGGAAGCGAGAGACGAATCCGTGGACTGAGTCCACGAGCGAGAGCGCACTCGTTCGGCTGGTGACCGGTCTGCAAGGGGCATCATGTAGGTTGTCACCAGTCTCCATTCGGGTCGCATCATGATCATGAGGATGGCATCGAGAAGAATTGGTCGGTCCACGCCTGGCAACGGCTGCTGATCCCGCGCGTCCACCATGTCGAGCATGCCTTTCCACCACCTGTCCAAGACAGTCGTGCGGAATTCGACATCCTCGGGATACAGACTCTTATTTGACGCGTGGTTGTTGTAAGTCCTCAGGAACACCACGAGCGTGGTTCTGATGAGAAGCATGCGTTGCGTGGCCGTTCGAGCGTGAAATTTGCCGAACTCAATGTCCAGATTCTTGAAAGCGCTCCAGAGAGGATCTCGATGTGGCACCATTTCGTTGGAGGATTCGTCGGTGGATGTGATGCTGCCTTCGGCGAAGGAGGCTGTTTTGAATGTGCCTTGGTGCTCGATGGTAAATGTCGTCGTCGGGGGTGCTAGGCTGGTGGCCGAAGAAGCGCAGCTCGTCGAGTCGGAGTCGTTGTTGTTGCCGAGCTGGAAGAGCATGCTATTCGGGCGAGCCTTCATTTTTGATGTCAGGTAACTGCCGGCACGAGTAAAGGCGCGGGTCGTGCCCTTAGTAGAGTCAACCGGTCGTGGGGTCTCTGCGTCTGAGACGTGCACAGCTGGCTGCTTTGTTGCGGGTTTCGTGGTCGTTGCCGCAATGGCGGATGTGCTCTTCGAGGCCTTGTCGCGGCTCATGCCACCCAGCGATACAACCTTTTCGTGTCTGGGTTGAGGTGAGGGGGGTCGTGACGACGACATCCATCCCTTTCGTGCAAAGCTGGCGAAGCTATCTGTTCGTTTCCTCGCCGATCTATCCACTTCTGCCTTTGGCGGCTCTGGCGCGCTTGGTGCAGGCGCGGCAAGGCCAGAGCCTGAAGCATCCTCGCCAACGGATGTGCTCGGACGTTCCGACAGGTAGTCTCTGATGCTGGTCGCTGACTTGGAACCCGGGAGCCAGGATTTGGGCCTCTCCACCAAGGAGTACCTCCTGAGCATCTTCGGCTTCTCATCGTTGGGAGTGCGCACGGCTTCGACATTGACGGCTGCGGCTTTCTTTTCATTGAGGACCTGCGTCGGCGCAACAATCCTCTCGTCCAAGTATAATTTTGAGTCGAAATCAGGCGTCGAGTCGAAAGATGGAATCTCAAACGAGGGCAAGCTTGGCAAGCTCTTAGTGCCTCCGCCGCGGTGGTGTTGGCCGGGCATGGCGCTGGGCGTCATGATGTCCGGGGAAGAGTGCGATCGGCCAAAGGAAGTAGTGTCAAAACCAACGGCCGGAGCCATCGTCAGCACGGTACCATTCATTTCATGGCCGAGGTGCTGAAGGGGGGTCGTGAACAGCGCAGTCGTTACGGTGCTATGGTGGGCAGACAGCTCAAGGAAGCAGTCCCGAGTTCGGTTGGACGGTGTTGTTCGGTGTGACAGGCCGATGCTGGTAGGCGTGTGGTGGAGGACGATGGTTCGTTCAAGAGCTCCTCGGGGCCGCCGGCGTCATGACAGAGAATTGTATCTCTGGCCGGCAGAGTGGGATATGAACAAAGGAGACCCGAAGCGAGACAAGAAAGCGCTCCTTTCGTCTGGTCTGCCCGTCCGTCGTGCTTCGTACTATCAGCACGAGTCAAGTCCCGCAAATTGCTGTGCGGGCGGGTTTGGCGTTGGAATAGGGACAGGAAAGTCGAAGGGGCGAAAGGTGAAAGAATTCAAGAGAGGCTTTCCCCTGCGTGAGATTTTTGGGCGGGTACGTCTCAGATATCAGAAAGGGAAGAGGAGGATGGTTATGGGATCGCTAAGACGGTGGCTAAGACGGATTCCCTGCAGGCTGTGCCTTGCCTCCTTTGGGTCTGCCTAGGCGGGCTTGGGGGGAGCTAGTTCGGTCGGCGGGCTGAAGGCTAGTCAACTCGCGGCGGAGCTCAGTGAGGAACGCCTGTCGTAACAGTGAGGAGTTGTAATGTTAAAAGGTCTTGTCACTGCTGTCGGTACTGTTGCAGATTAATAACCGCCTGCCCACTAATGCTTCCGAGACACCGCCCGATCTGCGATCTGAAGGGGGGGAAGGACAGGGCGGGCCAAGGGGTGAGCGGACAGGGGCGTATGCGATGATGAGATGGAGATGCCAGAAGACGTCGTATTGCTTGCTGGATTCGCCTCAGGTCCAGTCGATGCCTTTGTTCGTGGTACGAGAGCGGGGGCGGCCAGTTGCGGAACTTTCTTGTCAATAACAATAGACGATGATGGAGTGAGCATCTTCTCGACCTCCCAAGGTCACAAAGGCAGGCCTTCCAAGACCAGAAAGAGGCCAGCGGACACGGCCACCCGACCAAAGACTGACCAGGGCAGCTTGCTCGTTCGGGATCCACGGATAGCAGAAGCAGCGCGTCAGGTTGTCGACGCCCCGCCTGGTCCACTCAGTCGTTCGCTTGCTCGCCTCAGCGTCTCGTCTTGCTGATCGAATCCAAACTGTTGCTGGTTGTTCCTGCGGTCGTCGCCCCCCCGCAGGCTGACATGGTGGCACAGCAGGCCCCAACCTGGCTCTCGAGACACGAACGGGCCATCGCAATCAAGTCCGCAATTCCCATGACGCAGCGAGATTTCTTTGCCTCCGCTTTATCGAATTTTGTCGCTCATTCTTTTCCCGCCTAGCCTGCTGATGTCTTCGCTCTCACCGATGGTCGAGAGGATGGCGCACTAGCACGGACACAGCGCAGAGAATGCATTTCATAGCACAAGCTGAAGCTCACTCTGTCATGCCGACCGACCCTGACCCCTGAAGCAACCTGGCCTGGTTAGAAAAAATAATGAAAAAAAATCAGGGTCGCTTGGCGGAAAGGCCAGGGAACCCGAGGCCGGGGACAGTGCATGCGCCCGCCCAAGCCTCCGCCTCTTCTTGGTGAGGTTGCTGCTTTGGGAGTGGGCTCGAAGCCTTCTTTGCTCTCTGAATGACAGCCCATTCATGCACCACTGATCAGCATGTCTCGCCTGTCGTGTGAGGATTCGGCCTTAGCTTTCGCTAGCGTTGAGAGGCGCTTAAGGCACCTGGGGCCGCCCCTCGACCTGCCCTGGCTAGATTTTAGTAAATCGCTGGCGAGTGAGTCGCGTTGGTTTTGGACGATGTGAGGATCAGTGGCTCGGATAACCTCCATGGCTTGCATGACCTGAGGGCTCGCCGTGCATAACGATGGCTCAATCTCCGCCCAGACGCATCATCAAATGTCAGCCACTTCACAACTTGCCAAAATGGATGGCTCTCGCCGGCGCGATGCAATGTGTGACACGCCAGGTGGCCGCCCCATTCAGGCCAATGCCAAGGCCACACCGAATGGGGCGTGACTCGGCCGAGGCAGGTCATTAGGGTGTTCGTGGGATGTCGTCTATCCGGAGAAAGGGAGCCACGTCGGACGTCATTCCGTCCAACCATCCACCATACCTGTCCTTCAGTGATCTTTTGGCCCCACGGCGGGCCGCCCGTCTGTTGTGTTGCAACCGAACGCGGATGTCCGAACCTAATAGTCCAAAACACTGCTTCGTGACTACTTTGACCTCGTCATCCCACTGCCCGTGCTCGTCCTCTTCCCGAGCCTCTTCCTGAGGGTTGAGACGCGATTTGCAATGCCGTCGATGCTTGCGATACTCGGTGCATGTCCGAATCGAGACGAACGATGGAAGATGCCGCAAGCCTGGCATCACGCGCAGCAGTTCATTGAGGGGGGCACGGTTGCGCAGACCGGACACTTCTAAAATTGCAGTCCCATGGCCGTGCAGCTTTGCCTTGGTGAGCGACTTGTGCATCAGGGGCTCCTCAGCTGAGCAAGGATGGTGGTTCCGCAGCAAGACCCTGAAAAGGGAGCCCCTCGGCTGCTTCTGTGTCGTCCCTTGGCTGCCTGGCCGGCATGCGCAGTGCGTTCCACCACCAGTTCTTGTCAGTTGGCCGGGTTGGGGGCCAGGGGGAGATCCGTTGACACCGCGGCCTGTGCCTCACCTGTTCGATTTTGGTACGGATTCTCATGCTTACAGCGCGTTAGCCAGTCAATGCAGGAGTCAGCTTGTCCCCCAAAGCGGCAGTGAAAATGGTCTGACGAGTGCTTGACTGCGATGCTGCCAACCTTCCTCCCGCCCCCTCCCCCCCTGGTGACCCCGCAGCCGAGCTAACCGGGACTCCTCTGTGCGGGAGACCAGGGGATGTGCTCACCGCCCAGAGGAATTCCTGGATTGAGTTTACGAGGACCAAATGCGATTGAAGCAATCAGCTAGTGATTGATCGGGTGCTATTTGGTCGACCAGTGAGCCGACAGGACGGAGATCGGACGACGGAGCCAGCGGAGAGGAGAAAGGGAGCAGGGTAAGCAGTGAGTGAGGAATTGCTGCTTTGCTCTCACCGAGGCTCCTGGGAGGAACGTGGCCGCTGATCGAACTATCATCAATAACAGGAGGCGCGCATTTACTTTGTTTTGACGGAGTCTGATGAACGCGTGGAGCGGTTGGGCGGCAAGCGAAGCCCTCCTGTCGATCCCCACGCCATTCGACAGAAAGAGGCGCGTCAGGTCAGTCAACAGAACTCGTGGTCGACACTTGAGCGAGTGCGAAACTGACAGAGACCAACATGACAACAATTTCGGTTGTTGATTCGACGACGGTAAGGCCATTTGACGATCATTTGATGATCGGATTCTTGACAATCCGACACTTCTGCACCGAGGGCCAGAGACAACAGGATTCCAGCGTGTCGCAAACCAAGTTGATTCACGCATTGGCCATTTGTATTCGGCGGAGATAACTAGCATGTCGCGAGGGAGAGATGTATTTTGTTGCCCCATCTTCATGCACCCAAGCCTTAGAGAGTAGCGGCATGGGTGTTTGGTAATGGTAGGGCATGTGTTTTTCATCTTGGCACGATGGATATTCCTTCAGCAAGGGGAGCACAGGTAGCTCATTTGCTGTACACACTAATGCCGTGGTTGATTTGGTTTGGTGGTTCAAAGGGGAGGGAGAGCTGTAAGTCAGTATGTCTCCATTGGTAGGACGTTCGTCGGAGCGGCGTCCGTTGCCGCTTGTCGCGAGACGCGCCGGCACTTGCACAACGCCAGCGTCACGGCATGTATGATCTTGATCGGCGATCGACCGACGGCTCGTAGAATGCTAGACAATCAGAAGCTGCCACTGTCCTCCTGTTGGCCGAGAGTCGATCAAATAGATCAAGGCCAGGCTCGATTGGGGATCGTGCAACATTGTCCAATCCAGGATCAAATCCAGGAGATCAAGTCATGGCTAGAACGAGAGGAATGCTGAATGACGTGCTCCTGAGGCGGGAAAATGAGCGACGACCCGGATCATGGTCATGGTGACTGGTGACACAATGTTTGAGACTCAATGCTGGGAGAAGAGGTGGAAAGGTTGGCAGGAGAGGGATGGAAATTTTCGCGATTTCCTTTCAATGGTTTTGGCTTCTCCAGGTGGGGCACATCGTCCTGGCTTGCTCGGTGCGACCCCGGCCCGGAAGAAGTCTGCGATAAGCGATAAGGTACCGTCGCCAGCCAGCACCCGTTGGACAGCGCTTTGCTCCGAACGAGAGAAAAACCAGTGAGAGTGAATGTCACTGGCGTGCTATGATTGGTTCAACGCTGTGGACTCTGGCGCCTGCCCATTGATGTCCCTCTGTTCATGTTCGAGTATCGTGCCTTCAAAATTAGGAAGACAGACTGGATCTGGTGATTGTGTGTCATCTTTTCTACACTTCCTGTCTTGAGATTTTCTATGCACATTCATCCTCTCTTAAATCATGACAACAAATACAACAGTGCCACTGGCTGCAGAGCCAAAAATTGGCCCGAACGAGGTTGTTAATGTCGGCCACGGACCCAAGACAGAACGAAGTGCAGCAGATGTCGAGCAACAGGTTCCTCCAACAGGCTCGCAAAAGTCGACTTTCAGCTCCCTCGGAATTCTGGACCGATATCTGGCTGTCTGGATCTTCCTGGCCATGTTGATTGGTATCCTGCTGGGTAACTTCGTGCCCAGCGTCGGGCCGGCGCTGCAAAAGGGCAAATTCGTTGGTGTATCTGTGCCAATTGGTAAGAATACCGAGGCCCCGGGACAAGAGACTCTTCACTGACCGTGCTAGCCATTGGTCTGCTCGTCATGATGTATCCCATACTGTGCAAGGTTCAGTACGAGAAGCTGCACATTATCTTCCGCACCCGCGAAGATCTGGATCCAGCTGGGTTTCAGCATTGTCGTCAACTGGATCGTGGCGCCCTTCTTCATGGTAAAACTACTCGCACGAACCTCTTGCGCTCATAGCTGACCACACAATAGCTTGCTCTGGGCTGGGCATTCCTTCCAGACCAGGAGGGACTTAGAAACGGCCTCATCCTTGTCGGCGTTGCACGGTGTATCGCCATGGTTCTGATCTGGACGAACTTGGTAAGTTGACTCTTCCACTGCGTCGCTGGATTGCACGACTGACGATCACAGGCCGGTGGTGACAATGACTACTGTGCAATACTCGTCGCCGTGAACTCGTTCCTTCAGATCGTTCTCTTCGCTCCTGTTGCCCTGCTGTTCCTCCGCGTCATCGGTGGCAACAATGATCTCGTCGTATCGTACTCGACCGTCGCCACGGCCGTGGGTGTGTTCCTTGGCATTCCACTCGGCGCTGCCATTGTCACACGCCTCGGGTTCCTCTTGACCGTGGGGGCCGATGCATACTCCAAAAAGATCATCCCCTTCCTGGCGCCGTGGTCGCTCATTGGGTTACTCTATACCATCGTCGTTCTCTTTGGGTCACAGGGTGCTCAAGTCGTGCATCAGATCGTGTCAGTGGTGCGTGTGGCTGCTCCTCTGCTCGTGTACTTTACCGTTATCTTCTTTGCAACGCTATTCGTCACGCGGAGGCTGGGATTTCGCTATGGACTGGCAAGCACCCAGGCTTTTACAGCGGCCAGCAACAATTTTGAGCTGGCAATCGCGATTGCCGTGGCGTCATTCGGAGCTGATTCGGATGAGGCGCTAGCCACTACTGTCGGGCCGCTGATCGAGGTGCCAGTCCTCATTGCTTTGGTATACTTGGTCAAGTGGTATGCGAGGAAGACTGGCTGGAAGGACTAGAAGCCGATGCTGGATGGCAGCAACGTGGGGTCCGAAGTGAAGGCGACGTCTGTTGGCCCGTGCTATCTATCGGTCACCCCCCGATAAGAGGTCCACAGCTCTCCACCGCCGGCCAGCACCTCCTTCACGTCCCCTCTTCAATGTCGACATTGCTTCCACATTGTTACCGGCAAGGACGAGGATCAATGCAATACACTAGGTCTCTTTTTGTGACGAGGAAGCGAACTGAAGCTGACGGGGCATCGTTCCTACTTTGTTGAATACAATCTTGCCGCGCTAGCCAACAACAAGCCCCCGATGGACCGCCTCCCACGAGAGCTCATCGATGCTATCCTACAGCAGTGTGCCCAGCAGGGGCCTCGGAATACCGTGCTAGAGCTGCGCCTAGTCTGCCGTGTTTTCGATCGATTCTTAAAGCTGTTTGCGTGCCGGACCATTGCTTTGGATTTCAGTCGCTTGAGCAAAGCGAGCGGCCGTCGCATTCCGGATGTCGATGCCCTCCAAACCATCGGCAAATACGCCAAGTGCATGTACATTGACATGATGGTGTTGCGTGACGAGTGTCAGTATATGTCGGCCCCTGCGCAATCACATTGTCCAGCTGACGAGTCCTCAAGTCGAGGTTGAATTTCTGTCAACGCTTCTCGAACCTCTTCCCAGCATGAAGGAGTTCATCCACTCTCTGCAATATCGATACTGCATGAGCGATACCTCGTTCACCGAGATTGATTATCACAAGAGGCTACTCGACATGTGCTTCAATTGTGATCAGATTAACCGGCTTCGAATCAATCTTCCCTGCCAGCTCGTCGGTCAGCGCTGCAACACTGCCACCATGATCTTGGCCAACACATTTTCCGCCTTCGCCGAACGATTTAAGAACATGGACCCTACCGGCCCAGAACCTGTCAGGCTGGAGACTCTCGTTATCGAGAACATCACGGACCAGACCATCTACAACCTATGGAAGAACCCTAGCGATGTGCGCAGCATGATGCACGTGTTTTCTGGGCTCAAACACGCCATGTTCACTATCCGCCGTGTCGAGCTCGCAGACCCACGCATCCTCACCGCTTGGGGTCGCTTCCTCTGGGAGATGTTCCGCATCGCCGAGTCACTCGACAGCCTCCGCCTCGTGGGCACCGACGATGACCGCCCACCGCGCGGTCTCCTGAAACAAACCAAAGCTTGGCTTACCAGCATAATGGAGTGGCGGGCTCTCGCGCTGCCTGTGCCGCCCAGCTTCCACGCCCACCCCTCCCTCACGAGCCTCGCGCTCGAGCGCCTCGATATCTCTCCCATGAACCTCCAGTCCGCCGCCTGGAACTTTGGATCCACGCTCCGCACCCTCATCCTCAACGAGGTGTACCTCAAGGTCGAGCAGAGTACCACCCACAACCGGGACACGACCAAGTCCCTCTGGATCGGCTTGCCAAACCAGCGGCCCGAAGACGACAACCTGTGGATGGCCATGCAGTTCCGCATCCTCGCGCCGAAGCTCGAGCTCGTCCGCGCCTCCTCCCTCAGCTACGACCATTTTCTCCACGAAGACCTCTTCCAAGGCGGCTCCATCCTCCCCGAAGCCGCCAGCCCGGACTTTGACTTTGTCGACCCCAGCGGCCTCGGCCGCAGCCTCGCCCAGCGTTTCGTAGAGGTGACCCTCGGCTACGCCCAGCCGCCGTCCCCGCCGCCCGCCGTCCGCCCCGTCGTCTTCCTCCCGGAGAACAGCAGCCACGATCACCTCGTCGCGAACCTCCGACCCCGCCCCGCCGGCGCCCTCGCCATCGTCGACTACGACGCCAACGCCCACCACGCGGCCGTCGACGACCCAACCGGCCGCTGGCACCGCAGCCTCGACGGCCTGTACCCCAACTCCAACGCCGGCACGCTCCAGACGCTGCACGCGATCGCCGACACGGCGTTTCGCGGCATGAACGAGATTCAGCGCCACCGCGATGAGGCGGCCCTGCGCGATGGCATCGCCGGAGAGCCGGCGCAGGAAGGCGGCTGGCTGGCGGCGAACCTGCTCAACATGAATTTTCTCGACGAGTGAGCTGTTGTCGCGAGGTAGATAGATGTACAGTATTCCGTCTGGCAAGCCCGCGGGGTTTTGCGTCTTTGATGGAGTTGTCGAGCACACATACAGCAACAAAAGATACCCCACGAGTCCCTTCCGTTCGTCTAAGTAGTTTTCACAATGCGATTTCTCGTTTCCTGACCACAAATACTGCCGTCCGTTCGTTCGTCTAGCCTGCCTGATACGACCCCAATCACAGGCTAATGCACCCAAACTCCAAATCAGAGTCAAGACTGTTGTTCTTATTTTTTTCTCATCTCATCTATTCCCCCCACGATTTCTGTCATCCCTCGCAAACGGAAACCTCCCATCCCCCCCAAAACAAGAGAAACTGTCATGCAGCCCTGTGATCACGCAACCCCCCCGCCAAATGACGTGCTGGCCCAAGGTAGTCACTCTGCCTCGGCGGTCAGCCTCAGCCTCAGCCGCGACCGCGAAATTTCTCAGCCCCGCGCCATCCTTCTCAGTCGGAATGTCGTCAAGCCGCTTTTCTTTCGTGCTCTGTATATCGTTTACTCAACCCCCTTTCCCGATGGCTTAGATTTGATGATTGAAAAAAATCAATCGATCGTCGCCATGCGCCTTCCGAATTTCTCGTGCAAATATTATGTTGCCGCCACACACCACGCAGACATACTCCTTCCCCCTCTCTTCGTTTCATGTCATCAGCTGAAAGAAGACGAGAGAAGCCTTAGTGTTCGTTGCGTTGCTGTTTTCATTTGTCAGCGTGATCTTCTGCTCGTGACGCGCCGTTCGAGCGCCCCTGATGACGTCGCGACGAGTCGGCAGCGTCTCCGACACGCAGCTGATGCCGGCAAGGTCGTCAAAGACGCCGCCGGCCTTGCGCTGGTCGCGGGGGATGCCGGCGTTGGGTCATGCTTCGAAGAGGACTTCGACCAGCGACTCGACGCGCCCGAGAGGACTTCAGCGAGAGGTGGAAAATTTGGGTGAGCCTGGCAGAAAACGCTCTCGGCCGCGGCGTGGCCGCCGCGGATGCGGAAGGAGAGCATGCCGCCGCCCATGGCATCGCGGTGCTGCTTGCGGGCAATGTGGCGGTGGGGGTGGGAGTCGAGGCCGGGGTAGTTGACGGCGATGACATTGTGCGAGGCCTCGAGGGCCGTGGCGACGGCCGTAGCGTTGCGCGTGGCTCGCGGGCGCGAAGATGCAGCGTCTTGAGGCCGCGGTGAGCCAGCCACGAGTCAAAGGCCGAGGGGACAGCGCCGATGGCGTTCTGAAGGAAAGAGAGGCGAGCGTGGAGGTCGTCCGAGTTGAAGGCGGCGACGCCCATAACAACGTCCGAGTGGCCGTTAATGTACTTCGTCACCGAGTGAACGACAATGTCAGCGCCGAGGTCAAGTGGGTTCTGGACGTAGGGGGACAGGAACGTGTTGTCGACGACGACCTGGATGCCGTGCTGGTGGGCCTGGGTGGCGACGGCGCGCACATCGACGAGACGGAGGGTCGGGTTCGAGGGCGTCTCGATCCAGATGAGCTTGGTCTGCGGCGTAATGTGGGCCGAGATGTCAACCTCAATCTCGGGCGTGAAAGTGACCTTGACGCCGTGGGCCTTGGCGACCTGGGTGAAGTAGCGATGGGTGCCGCCATAGACGTCCGAGACGGAGATGACGTGCGAGCCGGCGGCCAGCGACTGGAGGACGACGGCGGTGGTGGCGCTGCCGGAAGAGAAGGCGAGGGCGTACTTGGCCTTCTCGAGCGCAGCGACGGCCGTCTCAAAGTTGTGGCGGTTGGGGTTCGAGGAGCGCGAGTACTCGTACTCGCCGACAGGCTTGCCGACGGCAGTCTGGGCAAAGGTCGTCGACAGGGAGATGGACTCAATGACGGCGCCGGTCGTGGGGTCGTGGGGGCTGCCAGCGTGGACGGCAAGGGTGCCAAAGTTGTGAACAGGCGAGGGCGCGCGAGGCGGCGTCTCGATGGGGTGATCGGCGAGAGGGACGGTCATTGTGGCGGCTGTGGTTGTGAAGGAGGAGCTGGTGGTGTTGATGGTATATGCCTGGAAGGTTGGCTGGCTATCCTGGGTAGATCGTGTTATCACGGTGAATGAAGTCGCTGCGGCGATGGAGATCAACAGGCCAGCAGAGAGCTTCAAGAGACGACACGGAGAAGAGAGAATGGAGTAGAAGGCAGAGATGACGAGGGGGGAGGAAAGGGCTTGTCGTAATTATAGGGTAAAAACGTAAAAGGTTGCTGGCGCCCGCCCGGTGAAGCGTCGAAGTCCATGGATGGAGGGATGGAGGGGCAGCGGCATTCGCTGGGCGTGAGCTAAGCAGCTTCCTGCTCGATAAGCTGGCGGGTACGTACCCTTCGGCCTTAGCTCCTGTTGCCCCATCAGGCGATCCGTCGTTCGGCTGCCCCGCACTCATCTGCAGGGTACCTCCTGCCTTGCCTGCCTAAGGAACGGACTAGGGGACAGTACAGCGTGCACACCACTGGAACCATCTGTTTTCTCACAGCTGTCCCTCTGAACAGCCAACGCCCAACTAACTACCTTACCTTACCTACCTACAAGTAGGTACCTACAGCACGGTACCTCGTCGTTTGCGGGTCACTTCATAAATCGCCCGGGTATCTCCCCGTCAAAGGCCCATCAATGTCCCCGCCGTCTCGGGAATGGAACGTTTTTTTTTCTTCTGCATTTTTCCTTCAACTTTTTTTTTTCCCTTTCGGCTGCGGCTCTGGGACAAGCTCGATCACGCAATCCCGTCTCTGACCCGATGATGACTCAACGACGCCCCTCCCCCCTAAACTGGCCGTTTCCCTCCCTTCCCCTTCCGGGTGCATGTCTTTGGCCCAGCAATGTCGTGATCAACAAGGCCCCTTCGCATGTTTGCTTGTCCCTTAACTATTGTTTTAGGGTTTGCCCATGTCTCGAGACGACCTCTTTGGTGCGTTTGCATCGGTATGATGTGATCAACGATGGCGGCATCCGTAGTGCCCCCTTGCTGCATTATCTGAGGTCTCATCTATCGATGGGCATGGAGCAAAGTCACCATTACGGAAGGAGGGACAGCAGACTATCCATGTCCAGATGAAAGCATCGGGTTTGAGCTCACCGCTAGAAGCCGTTCCGCTTTCCAGAAGGTCCACGAACGAGAGGGGCCCGCTCAAACACTCCGATCGAGAACCTGGAAGGTGCTCATTACCCTCGAACCTGGCCTCCCAGGGCGCTTCCGTCATTTTGCGGCGGCATGATCAATCCGGTCATGGCGGCCGTCTGGAGAGCGACACTCCGGGGGCTGATGCTCATGCTCATGCTGCTGACATATTGACCCAGTATCACAACATGCGGCCGAGGCAGCGTGTCGCACGCGCCCTGCCGAGAGTCTGCTGTCTGTCCTCTGTTTTCCGTCCTGACATCATCAGGCTTGCCCGTCAGGTGTATTTCAAAGCCGAAACCCGAGGGGCGCGGCTCAACGAGCGGCCACTTTCGGGTCAGACGTGACTAATGGTACGGCCGACGCTCCAAGGATCATGGAGGGGCCAACCCTGGTGCTATTCTCCTTCCAACAACGCCAACCATGAGCGACTCAAGATGGTTGCATTTTTTCCTGGCAGTCCTTTCTGTTGGGCCACACGGACACACGGACTCGCACACATGGATCAGACAACCCATGTTGCATATGGACCCCGATCCTGCGTATGGTTTCACGGGCCTTATCGCACTCGACCCCGCATCTTGGGTTCGCTCACTTTTCTTGCCCATCGGAGGCGCGTGTTAACATCATATTGAATGCCGCCAATGGCCTTGACACGTCCTTAGCAAACCCCGACAACCCAGTCACGTACCGTCCTTCAAATGCCGAGTATTCGCCAAGGTAGGCTATTAAAACGCATAGGGTGGGGTGTTGCACCAAGACCAGCCCTTGACATGGCGCGTTGATGAAGCTCTCATGTTTTGGGAAACCCCCCTCCATCTTGTCGCTTCTGCTTGATCACATCATCAGATGCCCTGGACGGATGGCCCAATAACGGGCATTTCGTGCCTGGCAAAGACAGGCTTGACAGGCTGGCACAGGGCTGTGTACGCAGGCTGTCAGCTCGAACCTCGCTCCCCCAGATCTGCGGATCTGTCCACCCTACGCCACTCTGCGCCCCCCTCCGACCCTCCTCGGGCGCGCGCTGCAAGCGCAGCAGCACATGGGCATCACGCAATCCCTCCCATCGTAGGAGGGCACCGGCGCATCCACCATCCCCGGTCGGCATATAGTCGTCCCGGCTCTCTGGCGCCCGTCTGATGGCCCGCTTTCGGCTCCGGGACGTGGAGT